TTGTTCGAGTTCATATCATGTAGTAGATACAATGTCTTCTTCGCTCTAGTTGAACAAGGCCGAAGTTCTCTTGATGCATAGAGAATAAAAGAATGTCTTTATTGATCCGTGAAGGACTGAACATGCCTTAGATTTCTTTTTTTTTTTCGATGTCGAAATGATTAAACATCTTCAGTTATTCTACAAAAAAATGAAATGATTTCACGATATTTATAACACAAACTAAAAAAAAATTCAATATTTTGAATAAATTCATGGATATAAATCAGCATCTTCATTCAATATAAATTTGAAATACTAAATATATGAATCATCGTTATTGAACACAAAAAACCTTGTCTATGATATGTATAATTAAAGGTTATGACCTTACCTTTGTGATAAGTATAAACTACACGGTTCTGATTCGTTTGTTATTTTTAGCTTCATATACTCCCATCATAAAATATCATCAATTTGCACTTATCGATTGCTATTATGGCAGGTTCAAGTGTAATAGACGATGAAGAATCATCTTATGATGACTTATCAAATTTTACTACTGATATTACTGAAGAAGTAACAACAAATTATCATGAAACATCATTTTTATCTCCATTTACAACAAATATGAGTTCACCATTAAGTTTTGAATCTGTTTATCGATCATATCAAACAGATACTCAATCATATGATAATACTCCATTAGAATCACTTATTGATTGTAATCAATCTGATTTAGTAAATCTTGATAACTTTTCATATGATATGAATACAGAAGACCAGCAAACGATAAATGATAATTCTGATGTAGTACCAACAACAGATTCAATACTTGCACAAGCACTTCCAGAATCACTTGCAACACCATCAGGATGGTATAGTGAATTACTTGATTCATTGTTGCCTATTTCAGATGAAATGAAAACAAGTTTAAACATTAATAATAATAATAATAATAATGATCCAAATTTTATTGAAGAAAATCAAGAATATCAAACTTTATATACAATGGATGCTCCTCCTATAATTTTCTCTTCGAATGAGGAATATAATCGAACTGTTAATGAAATATCATCATCACCTATACTTCAATCAACAAGTATCAGAACAAACAGTACTAGTGAATATAGTAATCTACCATTTGACTATCGTACAAATGGCGAAGCAAAACTAAATTTAATAAATCCTCAACAAATTTCATTAGCAAATGCAAAAGAAAAAGAAGCACCATCACCACCACCGATTGTTATTCGTAAAAATGAGCCAAATAATACTGTTACATATAAACAAAATGTTTCTGTACGTTATTTACAACCACCTACACCACCACCACATGGACCGATTATTATTCGTAAGAAAAACAAAAAAAATCTTAGAAAATTATACTATTTATTTTATTTCTTAGGTGAAGTTTGTCGACCTTCATCACCACCAGAACCACCTATTAAAGTGCAATGATTTATCTATAATTTTTAATTGAAATTCATATATTTTATAATTTTAGATTCGACAAGTACCACCACCTCCGCCCACACCACCACCATGTGTAATTAGAAAAAAAAAATTTATGCGATTAAAAAAAAAATAATATAACTACTGTCTCTGTATTCTTTTTCAAAGGTAATCCGAACAAGACCTCCTCCACCTCCAGCTCGACTTTCTCCAAAAATAATCGAAAAAATATTACCACCACCACCTCGTCCACCACGTCGTATGATTGTCGAACGTTTTCAAGCATGTCCACCTAAACCAGCTGATGTTATCATTGAACGTTGGTTACCTTATAAACGAACTGATCGACGACAAATTTTTTATCAACGAGCACCACAAACTAATACGTATACAAAATTTATCACTAAACAATAATGAATCTAATTTTTTTTGAAAATATTTTTTAGACAAGCACGAGAACCGAATATACTTATTCTACATGAAAAACCACAAGCACGTATTAAAAAGGAATTTATTAATGAAGGAGTTGTTAAAGTCGATCCTCAATCTTATATTCAACGTTATGGAGCTGAACTTGATTCACCACAAGCAAAATCACAGTTTGCTAGTTTAATTGGTGAAGCAACTCGTGTTCTACCACCACCTCAACCAACTGTCTCACCAGCTGGTCAACATAGTCTTCCTCAATCTCCTACTTCTTATCCACATGGATATCAATCATCTCCATCTGCTTCTGTTTTAAATGTTTGGGATAAAATAAAATCATCCTCGCCTATATCTCATCCAGGATCATATCCTGCTGATGAATATTCAAAATTTGACTCATCTTATCGTTATTCTCCACAATTTCCTGATAGAACGCAAGAAGGAGGCATGAAAAGCATGGTCGATGTAACATCTTTATGGAGTCAGCAATATAATTTACCACAGTCTGATACTCATCTTTCATCTTATCAATATTCATCACCATCATCATCTCTTCCTACGAAAACAATTCAAGTGAATTCTGACGATGAACTTCAACATGTTCTTTCTGATTTAACACATGGTCAGGTACCAACACCATTTCGTTCATATTAGAACTTTTTAAATCACAAAAAAAAGAAGACAAAAAAAAAAGGACCAAATAAATATGTTTGTTTTCTCATTTTATTTACATGTTCTCTTTCAAGAATAGAATAAGTTAAATATTCAAGACTTTAAAAAAAACACAGAAAAATGTTTATTTCGGTCGTTGATTTCGAGGTTGTTTAAGCATTTGTCCTTCACCAGAAAATGGTTGAAATATATTTGTACTAGGTTTTTCTACTGTACTTGTTGTTTCATCATTAATTGAACGTAATGGTATACGTAAAAATTGTAATGTACCATATTCATAATCATAATTTGGTATTCCACGTGTTTGTTGAATTTGTAAATTATTTTGTTGTTGTTGTTCTTGATCTTTTGATTTATTTTTACCATCTAAACGATTACCTTGTCCATGAAATGGCATAAATGTTGATGGACTTTTATAACTATTTGGTATTCCTGATATTGTATCAGCTGGTGTCATTGCCATTGAACTACTTGTTTTAGGTGTTGTTGATATATTTTGTGATGATGTTGGAATATATTTTGGTTCAACATAATCAATTGGTGGTGCAAAATCAACTTCCATATCACATTCAATAATTGATACAGCATCAGCTGGTTTTAATTCCAAAACACATAATTCATAATTACGATTAAGATAATTTATTGCAATAAGATCACCTTTAGTTAAACAATTAAAATTTCTTAATGCTGTTTCTAAAACAGCTTTAGGATTTGATATATCAAGAAAATCTTTTGATTGTGGTTGAAAACGTACAAATTTTGCTGTTGGTAATTTAACAGATTCAACACTTATTTCATCACCTTCTTGTAATAATAAATGATGCATCATCCAATTAGGTAAATAACACATTGGATCATCATTAGGTAAAAATTCTAATACACCACAATGTGTTATACGATCAAGTTTTTTATTTTTTAATTGAAATAACATGATATGATTCTAGAATGAAGATCAAACAACAAAACATAATAATAATAATAAATATTTATATTTGATTATTCTTCTTACTTGTTCAATTAAATGTTCTAAAGCAGCTTGTGGAAGTAAAATTTTTCCACCATTTTCAACATTAAGACGTTCACGATCACGATCAGGTAAAAATGCAGCTGAATAACATTGATAAACAGCACGAAATGGAACACCACCACCCATAGGTTGACCACCAGGAATATTTTGTCGAAAAAATGGATTAAAAAACATGATGAGACTCGAAAACAATCTAAAACACATCGATTCGATTCAAATTCGAATATTTTAGACGTCAACATTTTCTACTGAAACATTTGTTTTCATCTGAATATTACTGTAATCCAGAAAGATACAAACTTTTCTATACACGAAAAATAAAAGTACATATTCTTTTCACTTTCTATGTAAGAAAAATAATCATAAAAATGAACTCTTTCGATACTTTAAAAAGCGTTCGTGTCATTGATCTATTGTTGCAAAGATATTGCACTTTTACATGAATGAAGAAACAAATAGAAAAGCTGATTTCGAAATTTTGACTGCATATAAATTGGCAGTATTTTCAAAAATCTATGCTCGGTAGAATTTCATATAAAAATTCAAAAGAAATTAACATACTCTTAAATCATCAACGATTTATTAATTGAAGAACTTTTCACATTCGACAAAAACCTAACGAAACTAAGACTGATCTCATTTGATATTTTTCTACATTTCTAATACCTTCTATGGTAAAAAAAGAAAACTCTAACTTATACCTAACAGATGGATAGATTGTAGACACAAATACACAATATTGTATGAATTTTTGTCCTTAAGTGAACTTTCCTTTTTATGCTAAAATACGAAACCATATGATCGCTCTATACTTTCTTACCAAACAACTACTAACAATATATATATTCGTCATTTTTCATGATGAATTAAATGACGTGGCAAAAACTTCTATCATTAGTTGTCTGTTGAGAAAGAATAACATTTCAGCACATAGAAAAACAATATAATATCTCAATTATTAATAATGATTAACTTTATATCTATCTAAAACAATCGATATGTTATATGTTTGTTTTCAAAAAAAAAATTTATTAAAAGAAAAATAAATTATTTCTAAGTATAATAGATAAAAATGATTGTTCATGAATTTATAATAAATTTTGACAATACAAAAAAAAAAAAAATAATGTCGCTAGTTTAATAAACATTTATGTACCAATGAAATTTCAATGAAATCAAAAGAAAAAAAAAAAAAAACAATATCTTCAATGATGAAAATGAAAAATTCTGTCTCATCAATACATCTAGTAGAGGGAGCTAGAATAATATTTTATAACGATAAAAAATATTGTGTCCAAGAGGAGACGATCGTGGCTGCTTTAATTTGGTTTCCTTGGATATAAAAAATTGAACAATAGAGAAAAGAAAAAAAAAAAAAAACCTCAATAAATAATTTTTAATTGTGTCTTTTTTTTTTTTTTGTTTTTTAAAGATATTTTCAATGCAAAAAAATCATCAACATCTTGTACGGCCATGTGCTGTCTTTCTTGAACGTTTAAATGATACATTTATACCTTCAAAACGTTATAAAGTCGATGCTGATATTATATATCGATCATCAAATGAACAATCTTCACATCATAATAATGATGAATTATCTGTTGATGTTCTTATGTTACCAAATAATAAAGTTAAAATATCTTCATCATCAACATTTGAAAATATATCTATAAATTCAAATAATCAAATAACAACAAATGATGATATAAAACCAGTTGTACGTATACGTCCACATCAATCATCAATTGATTCTAATGAATATGATACTTCAATAATATCTAAACGTCATAATTCTTTACGTCGTAATGAATCATCAACATCAAATAAATATGATAATGATTTATATTTATTTAATAGTACATTTGATTCAGGTGATGAACTTGGTGTAGATTTAAATGATGATGATTTAGCATCAATAAATCATGTATTAGATTTTGATGATGATGATGATCTATCAAATTTTGATGATGATAATCAAAATTTATCATTAACAACAAATAGTAATCATGGTTCAATTAATTATCATTCAACACAATTACCAGATTTAGTTATGGGTTCAATACGATCTGAAAATGGTATTAAATCTGAACCATCATTTCAATATAGTGATTTATTTAATCGTAAAGGACGTACATTTGTTTGTGATGAACGTGGAAATCGTGTTGTATCTGTTAAACTTGAAAAATTATCAGCAAAACATTTAATTGATTCTATTGAAAGAAATTTAGGACGTTTAATTTTAGAAGAATGTCGTCGTGGTGATTTACAAGCACATATTTTAAAAGTATGAAAAACAAAAAAAATTAGATTTGATATTATATTTCTTTTTGTTGTTGTTGTTGTTTAGGTTGTTTTTAAAGATGAACAAGAATTTTTTGATTTTAATCGTTCAGCTATTGTTTCAAAACATTCATTTAAACAATGTCCAGAAATGTATACGAGATTTCTTGAAAGTTTATTTGAATCACAAACATATACAAATGATAGTGAACATGATCCACTTGGATCTGATGTAAGTATTTTTCTTCTTTTGTTTTATATGTTTACATATTGATAATGAGTGATGTTTATTTGCATTTGATTTATTAGAAAGTATCAAAAGCTTTAGTATATGAGCTTAGATATAATGTATCTATTTTCTAGAGCAAATATTTCTTGATAAAACATGATATATGAACTAAGCTGTAGCTTTTACTCAAGTGAGCCTATAAGTATTTTTTTTTAAAGAATTTCTTTCAATGTAAAATGTTTGTCATGTTTTGTTGAAAAATAAAAACGTCTTGTTCAACAACTTTCTTTTTCTACATATTATTCTTATAAAGATAAAAGTAACATTAAGATCATAGATTTTGTTTTTTTTTTTTTTAATATTTTCCAGCGATATCTCACATGAAAAGTAGTATCTATTAAGAGAAAAACTTACAAATTAAAGAAAACTAATAATAAATTGCGTATCAATAAATGTCTATCATCTGTTTTGATCGATTATATATATGCTATGAATATTGTTTATTTGACCTAACTTGTAACGTTTAAAATTCCCAATGGGTTTATTTCATGAAGTTAAAAAAAATAGCATTATTATTTAATGCAGAGAGACAGAAATAATCTCAATCAACTTTCTGAGTCATTATAAATATCATTTCACTTTTCATATATAATTCATTTGTATATCGTATTGTTTTTTTTTTCAAAGCTATTTTTACCATAGGAAAAAAAGCCTACGTAGTTTTTTCAGTTCATTATGGCATAGATGAATGACACGAATGTCAAAGTAACATTCAACAAAATAAAAGCTACTCTTAATGAGTATTTCTTTTTTTCGATTGCTAATTATTGAAAACTTTTTGTGATTTTTTTGATGTTAGTTGTATCTATATAATCTGATTATATAGCGCATAGCTGTGAGTCAGATGTAATCGTTTTTGTTCAAGTATAGATCTCTTGGTTCACCGAATATTTAATCATTGTGTCGGTCTCAAACTCGATAGGACAAAGTTCGAAACTATTCTGTCTATCCAACGATAAGACTGTAAATATTGTTGAAATGACTATTTGATGTCTTCTGAGATAATATTCATCTGGTTTCAGTAAAAAATTCGATAGACGTCGAAGTTTTTTATGTATATTGTCATTGAGTTTTTTTTTTAATTATTTAATCGTGAGATGGCATTAAAGAACAACATGATTTACTTTAGAAATCGATAGTTGATGAAATTTTCTACAATATATATTACTCAAGTTTTTTATTATAATGCTTTGTTGATTTTCTATAATCATTCTATTAGTCGCTGTACCAATAGTAAGATAATGTAAAGAATATTGCCTGAAGATATGAAAATTTATATTTACATTCTTAATGCAAGGCATTGATGATAAGGAAGATTCTTTCTATAGCGAACATAACTCGTTTATTTTTAAGATGATGCCGATATTATTGTTAATGAAATAGATACTTTGTTTTATAAGTTATAGAGGTTCTTAAAGGACAGATAAGATTACTTTAACATGATAGACTTCTTAATCTTTGAACTCATTTCATTATCATAGATTGTGACTAACAGCAATACTAAGTACTACCTTAGTACTTATTAACAACTATTATAGCCTGAATGTTTCAACATTTTAAGAGATGTTTAATAGAATTGTCGAGTTATTCTAATTATCCAAATTGAACCTCAACAATCTTAAGAGTAAAGACCTTTGTATTAAAAATAAACCTATTCTATTATAAGATAATATGAATAGTAAAAGAACTCAGATGCTAAATCTTCTATATTTATAATATAAAATTTCAATGTTTTTTTTTTTATCGAAGGTTATAGTGAAACTATTTATCATTAAATTCATAACAATATTTCCGAGGTTTTCAATGTCTTAAAATGATTATAAATGATTTCAATTGTTTGTTTTTTTTCTTCTTTTTTTAGGAAGTTGATCAATTACATCATTCATATTGTTGTAAAGTTCATGAATGTGGTGAAACATTTACTTCAAGATCTGAAGCATTAAAACATGCAAAAAAACATGCAGGTATATTAAATCTAAACATTGATTTAATCCTGAGTTTTTTTTTTCTATCTTTAGAACTTGATCCATTTGATTTTGTTTGTGATCATTGTGGAAAAAAATTTCTTGGTATTGCTAATATGAAACGACATTTACGTGTTCATATGGGTAGTGAAGGAAAAGATTTTGCTTGTCCATTATGTCATTATCGTGGTTGTACAACAACACATGTTAAACGTCATATGGCACATAAACATTTAGAAAAGTAAAAGAAAATTTACAAATAAAATTTTATGTTTTTATATTTAGATCTATACCATGTCCATATTGTTCATTTATGGCTGCAACAAATGCTGATCTAAAAATTCATATGGCTCGTAGACATTGGGATATAGAAGGACTTGATATATTAAATAATTTACCTAAAACATATAAAAAAGAATGGAAATGTAATAAATGTGATACAGTTTTTCATGATTATTCTGTAAGAAAAGTTTTTTAATCTATAAAAAAAATTAATTTTTGTTTTATTTCTTTTTAATTAAATAGGATTTTCAAAATCATATTTATAGTCATTCAAGTCAAACAAATAAATTTCAATGTAATCTATGTCCATATAATTGTAAAAGTTTTTCAAAATTAAAAGTAAAATTTTTTTTTTGTTTTGTTTTATTGAAAATTGCTATTGTTTCTTTTTTTGTTTGATTTTTAGCGACATATGCTTTATCATCAAGGTCAACGTAATTATGAATGTCCAAAATGTAATAATAAATTTTATCAAATGGAACATCTTAAACGTCATTTAACATCGATACATAAATTAAATATTCCACAAATTGGTCGTGGAAACCGTTTATTTAGTTCGGATATATTAAAACGGGTAATGACAAAATGAATGATTAATAATGAAAGAATTTTTTTTCGAACGAGAAAATGTTTCCAACTGTTGAATCGATTTTCGCTTGAGACTATTATCATTTAATCGGTTATGATGAGTAGTAAGAAAAAGTTATGTTGGTTTGTCAGATAGGTCTCATAGTCACTAGAAATATCAGTAAGCTAGAGTTCGAATGAACCTATCATTACTGAGATATTTGAATTTTTGAAGATAATCTAAAAACTGTCCAAGTTTTCTTCGGGTTCAGTTGGTAAATGTAAATGCCTAAGAAACATTTTCGACCAAGTGACCATATCTATAATATGATTCATTTTTTTTCCTATGAATACTACTGTTTCAATATTATTTTAGTATTTCAGTAAAGTAGATCGAAACTTTTTCTTTCAAGTGTCGAAACGATGTTGATTTGTTTCCTTCAATGCAACTCCTTCATTGTTTTTCATCAGGATGGCATAATAAGATGATTCACTCTTTTTCTCGCTATTCTTAACTTTTCAATGGAGATCTTATAAATATCGTTGAGCCTAACTTAGACTCAACGTTCTGCTTTCTATATCATTAAAATAAAGTGTCTATTTTTTTGACAATTACCAGATAATGCTCATAGGAACTCTTTATGAATTTTCTTTGCTAATATTACATTCGGAACAACCTCAGACACTGAAAGTCTTTCGTGAAACTCTAATTATCTGCAAGTTTTATATAGGATCTAAACCTGTTTCAACTTTAATGTTTGGAAAGAAAAATCATAAAGAATTTACACGAATATGTTCTACTATTTATCATTAAATATGCAGTGTACATTTAAAAGTTAAAGTTATCAAAATAAAAGTATACTTTCGTTTGTTCATTGTAATGATCATTGGAGAGAAATCTATTTGTTGAAAGTTTCATTCGACGAGACCTTTCATAAATCTAATATAGTTCAACAGAATATAGAAAATAATTTACAGTAGCATTTCATATAATATATGCAAATTTTATGTTTCAGTTATAGAGACTGAAAAACTAAATAATTATAAATTCATTATTTTATCATTAGTATATTTATTTTTGTATAGCATTCGGATATGCAAAATATTCCACCACCACATGGAACTGTACCTCAATGTTATAAAGTCATTTCAAAATGTGTATTTACATGTCAAAAATGTCCATTTTCAACAACGAAACTTTATCATCTCAACGAACATGTTAAAAGTGAACATTTACAACTCGATGATTCAGCACATGTCTGTACTTTTTGTTCATATATAACAGATAAAAAAACGAATCTTAAAGTAATAAATAATGAAAAGATTTATTTTTTTTGAGAATCTTAATTTTAATATTTTCTTTTTTTTTTCAAGCGTCATTTACATCATAATCATGCTGGTCAATCTAATACACCTGTACTTTTATCGAATGATGCTCTTTTATCAAATCCTAATACAAAGTATGATATATGAACTTAAAAAGAAATAGATGATTATATTATTTGAGAAAATAAAAAAAAAAAAATAATTATATTTTTCTTTAGATTTCAATGTGGACTTTGTCGTCGATATCAAAGTAATGTTGATGAATTTATTAAACATATTACAGAAAAACATCGTATGGATGTATGTATGAATATTTTAAATAAAATAATAAATATCGGATATATTTCTTCTTCTTCTTCTAGGTTGTTATATTAGATTCCGCTAATAATGGAAATATTCATCAACAGATAAAATCTCGTGGTCGAGCTGAAGTACGTTTTTTTGTCTTTGATTTATGTTTTGTTGATTTTTAATTCATTTGTATATATTTCTAGTTAATATGTGCAAGTAATAATTCAACACCATTTCGATTTGATGAATACGGTGGTCTTGTTACTGTTATGAAAAATCCAAATGATACAACAATAAATAATTCAAATAATTCAACAACAGATTTTCTACTTCAGCAATAAAGAATAAAAAAAGACAAAAAAGAAAAGCCAAAATTTGTTTTCTGTTTTTCTATCTTTAGTTCATTTTTTTGTTTGTTCTGTATACACAATTGTTATTTTAACAATCAGTCAGTCCTCATAGGATTGTATTTTGCATCTTTAAAAAGAAAAAAAAAATATCACACACACACACACACACACAACCTATTTATGTGTATTGTTCTGTTTTTGTTTGTTTGTTTATTATAAAAAAAAAAACCATTGTCAAGAAAGAAAAAAAAATCTACTCAATGATTGTATTCTTTTCTTTATTGGCATATTAATAATAAAAAAAAAAAAAAAACCTATATTTAGAAAAAAAAAGTCGAACAAAATAACCTTGCTAATCAAATAAATAGACAATAAATCAGGATTGTTTATTGATTATAATAAAAGTTTTAGAAGAATTGTTTATGTTTTGCATATGTTTTCATATAACACAATAGTAGAAGATTGAATATTGTTTCTTTCAAAAACAAAAAAAAAGATACATTGTATAATAGGCTCTATCTGACTTGCAAAACCAAATCTTTATAATTGTTATTCAAATTTTAATAAATAACAATAGATGAACATGTTTTATTATGATGTTAATTTCTCCTATAAGAAATTTGAAAATTCAGGAATTGCGACTGGGAAAATGTTAACAATTGAATTTATCATTCTTGATGACATGTTAAAGGAAATTACTGTACTTGCTAGTATGAAGACAATGAAAACTTCATTAATAGAGAGATATTTTAGCAGTCATAAATGATTGTTTCTTGATGATTTATTCCTATTGTCTATTCAATTCAATATCTTTTTAATTTCGTCACATATAATACTGTTTACCCCTTCATTTTAAATATATCCTGAAAGTATATGTCTTTACTACCTGTTTTACGAGTTTCCTAACTATAAACATCTATTGTTAGATTATTAGAGTGGAAAATTTCTTGCTTTAAGCATTGCATTGTGATAAGAAAACACAAACATCAATAACATGCTACATTAAAACTTACAATAGATGAAAGTCTTTATATTTTAGAAAGATCATTATCTTTACGCTTTAGTTCAAATGTTGCGCTGATGAATGAATAAATGAACTGGAATTTCTATTGTCTATTTGAAAATATCTAAACTATGTTTCAGATTACTCATGATGAAAAAGTAGAACAATAATAGGCTATAATTATCTTTAATAATCTATTGAAATTTTCAAAACAGCTAGAATAATTTTAGTTTTGTAATTTCGCCATAGTACTCAATGACGTATCTTTTAATAAATATCCAGCTGTCTATTATGTCCGAAAACGGAAACGCGTAAAACAAAAATTTGACAACACTTTTGTCGCATCCGGTATACTAGTTAATTGAAGGCGTTGTTAGAATGATAATATTTCATCTTAGATAATGAGCACCCTTGAATTTCTAGAATTTATTATATGATAGAAACGTCAAGAGAGAAAAAACATTAAGATCAATAAAAATATGTAATAAACATCATAGCATGAAATTTATTATTATTTGGAAGGAAATGAATATTTAATTCAGTGCTATTATTGAAAAGAAATTTTATTTTCTATCGATTATCATAAACTATTGACATGCTCAATGCATTTGAGAAGAACACAATTTAAAATATATGCTTGAGCGTTACTATTCATTTTATTTTGCTCATTTCCTTATTCTAAATGATACGAAAAAAGAAAATTGTTTCATTCGCTTCATTTATTATATCGAACAAGAGTGTTTCTATCGATACCTACGTTCTAACCTACTTTACAAAAAAAATAACTTAATTAAAAGCATATTTAAAAAAATGAATTTCAAAAAACAAAAATTATTATTTAATTCAAAATGACTTCAATGTTCTAGATCGACAAGAAATTTCTCATAATATCAACTTGAAATGTAGGTCGAATATAAAAAATATTTCTTGTTTAATTACATAAGGCGTAATTGTAGTGTTAAAAGACTTTCTCAAATATACAAGATCAAGTTTAATATTTAATTCATTACATTTAGTACTCAACAAACTAGCTGTTTAACATCTCGTACTTAGTATTTTTCTTTTAGCAAGTTTGTATTACGACTGTTTTCTTTTCTAATGCACTCTTCCAGAACAAAAACATAATCATTTTCTTCGAGAATTTCAGAAAAAGAAATGAAAAGTGACATTTGATATGATATTATAATAATCATATCAAAGATTAATTTTCTAATGAGATATTACATTCATGCAAAACCTCGTTGACGTACTGTATTCTTTTTATCATTGTCATTTTCATTATTCAAAAAAGAATCTTATATCTTTTTTTTTTTTTTTTCGCAAATGAAAACAGGTGAGACGTACATATATGTATTTTTCTTTTAAAAAAATTTTTTTGTCGAAAGAACTTTGTGAGTTATTTTATTTATCTAATAAATGTAATCTAATGATGTTCAAAATCAATTAATATTATTTGTTTACAATAGAATAGAGTGAAAGTAAATATTAACATTGACATAACTGTGCAAATATGAAACATGTCATGTAGGTCTATTGACATCAGTAATTTTTAAAGAAAATGGCATGAAAATTGACTTTTCTTTAAAAAAATTTCTTTTTTTTTTGCATCAATGTCGACTTTTATATGTGAAATGATAATAAAAGTCATTAAAATACAGATAAAAACAAATGTTTTACTATATTTGTTGTTATGATGCGAAAGTGGAAAATGTCAGAATGATGATCAAGTTCTCTTTTTTTTTTTCTTCTATATCATTCTGTTGTATATAGATGTAATCCAGAATAACACTGGCGATGATGAAGAAGCAAAAGAAAAGAACGGATCGAGTAGTGCATATTTTTTTTTTTTTATCTAATAATAAAGACATTTTTAGACTCAGTCTTCATTGATAGTAGAGTGATGAAGACAAGTAGTCGTAAGCACTATTCGAAATCTTCTTGATTTGTCATTAATATAAATATTAGGATTTACCGCTATCTTATATCTATTGGTGACTAATATAATACAGATTATATGAGGAGTGACAAATTAAGATTGGTATTAGAAAAAGCACTAATACTTTTGAATTAGTATTGAAAATAAAGCTTGACACTTGCCTGTTTCTTTGCATTAGCATAATTAGTAAATACTATAATGTTATTATTATGTTAGTATTCATTTTAACTCTAATACATCAAGTATGTAGAATAAGGTTTCATTCTCTTAAGGAATATTCTATTTGTCCATCTTTTCATGTTAGTAGAAGCAAATACTTATAGTCATTTATGTCTACTCAATAATACTAGAGTTTCTAATGTATGAATGTTATTCTTTTACAGATAGAAATGACGTCACTATTATAGATAGTTTTGAATGAATATTAGAAAAATTTTGTCAGTAATGTCACATAAAAAATTAGTCTCTAGACAATATCTTACAAATTGGATTCTTTAAAGAACTATAATAATAAATTGCGCATTCGTATTTATGTAACTATATCTGTTCATTATCTTAATCTGTCACTTATGGTAATTGTTCGCAGTTTCTTTTTTGTTTTTTTTTGTATTTTATTAAGTACCTAAAAGACTATCAATATGGATGATTTATTGTTGTCCTAAACTTTCTACACTTTTAATGGATTTGCTTCATTTAGTAAGAAAAAAAAAAAAGTCGTTCTAAAGTGATTCAGACAAAAAAAAATTATCAATCAACTCACTCAATCACTATAAGTAATGTCATTTCGCTTTTCATAACACTCATTCGTCCGTTGCATTGTTTCCCTAAGTTACTATTACGACAAAAAAATTGAGCTTCAGCAGTTTCTTTTTTTTTATATTAATGTTCATAATGGCATGAGAAAATGTCACAGAGACCATAGGTATTGAGTTGAAAAACAAAAATTACTTGTAATGAATGAATGATGGAACGAATATGCTTTATTTTTTTCTCTCTATCTCTTGAGAATGCTAAAACAAGACCAATTGAAGTTTTTTTTTTTTTTCTTTTTTTTTTATGATTTTGACGGTGGTTGCACTTGTATAATGATAATATCTAGAGAGTTAAAATATTGTCATAGAATAGATTTTTAGCTATTCATTGTACACGTGCTATGAATAGTAACATTCATCATTTTAAAAACATTTAAGAGTAGAATATTCTTTGACACACTTAAAAGTGATTCTACATCCGTTTGTGTTCTTTATATAAATAGATTTTCAACTTTCGGATATCTACGCATACGTAATACATATAAAAGTATGATTCATCATGTTAATTTGATGTTTGCTACACTTTTTTTTTTTTTTTTTCTTAAATAATTAATTCTAATGCAAAATAATATTCTACTAGTATCCTTGTTGTTTGTTTGTTTTTTTTTAATACTTATGTATAAATATTAAAATAAGTATTTATGATTAGATTAATATTCATTCTTATAACATTAAGGTTAAATTATCAATTGTTTATTTTTTTTTTTAGATATATTTCTTTAATTAGATTATAAAGATAAATTTAGATGTCGACAGATATATTTACTTTATCGTGGTTTATGGTGTTTGCTTTGATTATGTTAATTGCACTTGTTGCTAATATAATTATTATTTTAGCAATACTTCGAGATAAATCTATGCATACATCAACTTATTTTTATATAATTAATGTTAATATAGCCGATATACTTCTTGTACTTAGTTGTTTACCAGAACGTTTAACTGCAGCATTTGGATCTAATGATGGTTTTAATTTAGGCATGTTTATATGTAAGTTTTTGATTTGTTTTTGTTTTTGTTTTTGAATTATTTATTAAAATGAAAATAAACATTTTGTTACTAGAATGTCATGCTTATGCGTAGGATTCATGAAAGGATCGGTTCTTTTATAATAGTAGTATGACAAAAATAATCTGTTTTCTATATCAAATATCATGAACATATATGAATCTAATCAATGTTGAATGAGAAGTTCTTGTTTTTTATAATCAAAGTCTTATATTTTCATGATTTATTTATT